TACATAGTAAAACTATGGTTTGTTTAGTTTTACTATGTACTATACTTATTTAATAAACCTTACGTAAACTATCGAATTCTTGGGCGTAGTAATACATTCAGAATTAAAAAGTGTGTTTAAATATTGACATTGTGCCACATTATCTGTTTTATTTATAAACATGACTTATGAGCTAATCGCAGGTCCAAATATAAGCGAAGGAAGAGAGTTATGAATTACAAGAAAGTGGACGAAGAAATTACATGTTCACTGATTTCTTCATTTATACTTATATATTACAGTTACCCACTGCTACGCCTGTATCCGTGGTCATGTTGCAGGGAGTGGATTCTACAGACACGTGTGGTGTACGATATTACGTTCGTTGTTACGCCTCTTCTACGCCTTCTGAAAAACCATCTATTCGGTAATATATACATATATACAGTTCACCGTTTATTACATTTGGTTATCATCATCCACAATTATATCGATTTATTATATTATAAATCAAAATGATTATATTATAGTCTTCTGTTAATCTGTAGTTAAAATTAGTTTGTTGATAATGTAACGTATACCTGTTATTATGTTCTTGGTGCGTTATTTGTAGTCATCTTTGTAAGTTTTTTTTCTTTTATTGAAGCGTATAGAACCGTTTGTAAAAGGAAATACATATTGACTCTATTTTTTTTCATTGTATTCAGATTTAAAAAAGAAAACCGATTCGAAATTCAATCGCTGCAGGCACAAACAGAGGTTCTCTTTCCACACTGAGTGATATGTTAGGCTGTATTTTGAATTGTCATAAGTATTTCCTACACGCTAAGTTTGTTTTAGCTATATTTTATATCGGTGTAGGTTATTCGTTCATAATTTTAGGCTTTATCTTGAACTCTTTTAGTCCACATCTTGAACCACTGTAGACTTTTATTTTACACTTTTGTAAGGTACATTTGCATGGATGCAAGATGTATATTACACTAGAACAGAAAACACTAAAAACGTCAAAGTGTTTAACACCCCACCAGAGGGTTATTTTATACCTGAATTGTATTCGATATTTGTTGTGAATTGGTCTGTTAATTAATTGAGATTCATAGCAAAAATCTCTGGTAAACGTATGAATATTGATCAAATATCTTCCAAATTAAAATGTTTAAGTTTTTTTTTGTAATGAGGCTAAAATTTAAACCGTTGTGTTTCAAAGAGAAACTTCATTCAGAATCCTAAAAATTGTTCTGTCTTGGAAGGGGCTACGTTTAATATCCGTCTCTAAAAATCGTCCTGTTTCTGAAGGGGCTACGTTTAATATCCGTCTCCAAAAATTGTCCTGTCTTGGAAGGGGCTACGTTTAATATCCGTCTCTAAAAATCGTCCTGTTTCTGAAGGTGCTACGTTTAATATCCGTCTATGTGTCTGTTTTGTGTTTTTATTTATGTTGTTATGCGCCCACCTACCTACAAATTTTAACATAAATAAACTTTATTATACTTGTCTGAACAGAGTTCGTTCCATGACAATGTTGATGGTTACTAGAAACGATGAACAAGTGTAACCATATGTAGCATGTTTTCCAGCATGTTGTGTAACTTTGTTTAAATTCTCACTGCTTGGCAGGAAAACTAGCTAGTTCTAAAATCTAGCAATATTTGGTCAAATTTGATATTGTAATTACACAGTTTTGAGCATCTTAGGAGCTGCTGCCATATTTTATAAAAAAGATTAAGCCATTAGCAGTAAAGAATATGTTGTTTTAAGCTCTATTCCAAGAAAAGGGTTCTCTCTGTATCGATTTTTATCCCACTGATATATCTGTATAACTGGATGTGATTATAGCAAGAGAATTAATTTTTAACAGCTTTGGCATTATTTTCTCGTAGAAATCTAAGCCCTGCTGATGTTTGAAAAAATGTGACGCTAAGAGTGAAATTATAAGAACAAAATATAAGATTTAAAAAATAACCGAGAATGAAAATAAGTCTGATTGAAGACAAGATCGAAGAAGTTATTGGGGATTATAAGAACAAAACCAAATAAATGCTAGCAAAAATACTTCCAACTGTAAAAAGGGAAGCGGAAAAGAGACCAATAAAATACATAAATATTATGACAGCAGAGTCAATTAGGTAGAGAAGAACACCTGGCAAATGAACCTGTATATGCAAGGACTAAACTAGCCACACTTCGCTAAGCATTTGTTCAAGATGTTCAACTCCAAGTACCACTAGCCAATCCAGTTCCAGAATTTAGCTAACCAATTGAAACACATTGCCCAGTTGAGAAAACGAACATATTATGAGTGTGAGAGACATACAGATAAGCTAGAAATAATTTCTAAAGTGCATAGATGAAGAACTGGGTAACAAGCCTTTTATCTCGCTGCTCATTTAAATAGACAAGCTTTAACAACTTTAAGCAGTCTGTACAGTAACATCTATCAAACATTGGTGGCTGCCTCATCAAACAGGTTTGGCATGACACACCAGTTTCCAACACAGGAGTACAATACTGATGAAAGATGAGACCCAAACTTTGAAAAATGTGGAAAGACCTGCTTGATGAAGATACCCTGATGCTTCACACAAAATGATGGATTCGTTTCTCGAGATTAATTCATAGATACCATAACAGATGAGACCAAAGCTAAGCAGGTAATATATTTAAAAGAAATATCTCCAGTTGACAATAGAATTTGGATCATTTAATGCCACAGCTAAAAAAAAAATGAAATATACCGTTCAGGAATTATAAATTTATTAGATCAAATTGTGTAAAACGGGGGAAGGTAGGCGTTCTAATGGAGACCCAGAAGACGCCAACCTGGTAACTTCAGTCCAGCCCATAGGAAATTTCTCGGAAACCTGGTAGGCCTATCTGCCCCGGATGTAAAAAACACCAGCTTTCTCTGCTGGAAGGCTGGAAGAACTCAAACGTTTAATTATTCAATTTTTAATTCAGAATGGAAGAAGTAAGCCAAGGGACAGAAGGTGTTTCAACTGAAATTTAATACAACATATTGCCAGAAACTGCAGAGAGAAACCATTAGTTAGACAAGTGTTCACTCAGAACAGCACGTGTTTCAACTGGTACTTAAATAAATATATTGATAGAAACTGCTTACAAAGGTAGAACAGGAGAAGGAAACTGTTGTAAGTGTGGAGAACATAGACATTACATCAGTGACTGTAACGGATCAGTAATTGGTAATAAAACAAGAAGAAAACCCCATTTGACCCAATATAAATATTGAGTATATATTATTTAAAGAAGCCAGTTCACGAGTCAATGAATTTATTGATGGAAAATCATGCAGCATGTTAACCAACATATGTTCTACATCTATAACTGTTTGACCTAATTTAGTAATAATAGATGGAAAATCGCCTCCAGAGATGAACCAAGATGGTGGATTGATTTGAACATTGAGTGGTCATATGATTTCAGCAATTGGAAAGCTGGAAGTCATCCCACTGTTGAAAGCTGTTCTACACAGCATAATGTGTGGGAAATTGGTTTTAAGGAATACTGGGATTCGACTTCATGCAGTAACACATAAGTTATTTTAGGATAGCTTCAAAGTCTTCGAAAATGAAGTCCCCATGTACTACACCACCAAAGTTTGGACTTTTAGTGGTCACGAGGATTGATGCCGACCTGAAGTGAAATATAGCATAATCCAAAAGAAAAAATGGTTCAAATTTGGTCATCAGTCGTGACCATCTTTAGAAGGACATCAACTGGAGAACAAACAATTGGTTAACTTCAGTGAAAACCTCACATGAAATAATGCAACCTGTTGGAGAACCCGAAATTCCTGATTAGATCACTTCCAGAGTATTGCCAGGCTATTCATCTGACGAACGTTTCCACTGTGTCATAGTTGCAAGTGAAAATAAAGGAAAAGATGTCATCCTATCTTTGTGCCATAAATCATAAAAATAAAACCATTAAAAAAGATATGGTGAGTAGACAGTTGAGAGACAGTAAGTAAGATGAGAAAGAATATTCCCTTTTATTGATCAGAATTTTGATTTTATTTAACTCGTTGAATTAATGATTATAATGTTTATTTATGCATATTCACTGTTTTTGTTATTATCACAAAGCTACACAATGAACTACGTGCACGCTACCTACCGCGGGGAATCGAACTTCGGATTTGAGCGTTAAAAATCCTCTGACCACTGAGAAATGTTAACTCTGTTAATTTTTAAATGTTACTATGTTGTCAATTATAGACTTCACAATTCAGGGAGGTGGCAGTGTCGTAAGCTGTGTTAATTCAGACGTTTTATTGTTAGATAGAGGGAGTTTTAGTTTTGATATATCTTATCATGAGCGCGTGACATATCGAATTTTCGTGACACTTGGGGGAAGCTTTTGAATAATATGTACATGACACTGACCATATAAAACAGGATTAGTGTTACACTACATACCCTAACAAACTTTTTTCAGACATATTTGGATGTCAGTGTTCAAGACCATGTTTAAGTAGAAAAAGTTACACCGAAGAGCCTGACAGGCGTTTTATCAAATGTAATTGCTGTAAGCTACGTTTTTTCAACTGTTTTTCCCGGGAAAACAGCTGTTGATTTCATTGTGTTGCTTGTAAGAAGATGTGTCCAACTTTACAGAAACGTTTTTAAGGACCAACGGGTTCTCTTTCGTAAGTAGGAAGGACTGGTGACAATTTATTAAGTTATGTGGTCTGAAATTGATATCATTGTCTTTCGTAGAAGGTCTGAATTGCTGAGCTGTAATTGTCTTACAGCAGTTGCAATATATAAGTGCTAAGCATTTCGCCCATCTTGCAATGGCTCGTGTATGCGATGATTTGCTATTGTATTACTTTATGTAAATTAATTTTATAAAGTGCGTTTAATCCTCTGTATCAATAATTGGTTAAAATAAGTAACGTTGGTGGGAGTTTAGGTACTTTTACATCAATCTAGCAGCTGTTCACTCCTGAACAATAAAAGTAATTCGTTAATGATAAACAGTATATGTTTGGGGGCGCTGTTGTCTATCCAAAAGTATTAATTAAGTTTTAAAACCTCATCTCAATTTAATTAAAGTTAATGTACTAGTGTTCCGACAAAGGATTTTCCAATAAGTTCCGTACTTCGCCTAATACACGAAAATATGATTAAAGTCTAAAATCGTAAAAAGGACAACCTGAAACATCCATCGTAATTAGGCTGACTTTCTTTGGAATAGTGCCCATGAAGATAATAACATTTGCAATACGTCTATCATCTTATTATATATAGATATTTTCAGAAATATAGAGTGTCCTAGTCAATTGTTACTACTTACTAATGTATATTGATATTAGTAAGGCCATTTTAATTTCAGGTGCTACGTAAAAAAAAATCACAGATTTATACATACTGAAATAGTAAAGAATACTACTGCGTGAGAGTTTGTTTCATTTTAATGGAGACACGTGGACTGAGGTATAAAAATTGCACTTTGCTATATGCTACTAATATTTTGCTGAGAAACACTGTATATAATATGGTTTACGAGCTACGAACTCTAGATATGCACATTTAAAATATTTTAAAACAACATTAACAAATATGTAAAGAATTCAAACAAAATCTTTTCAGACAGAAGTCACGTCAAGTTGCTTTTCTTTACAGTTTCTTTGTTAGAATGAGAAGAATCATAATGTGAATAATTAGTATGCCAAGTCTGTCTCATCCAAGACACGGAACTTTTAAAAACCAGTTTTGTTTTTCGTTATTTATGTATAAAAATGTAAGCTTGAGAAGAATGCCACTTCCTGAAAGTTAGCTGCCAAAACCTTTCAACACACTTGCGTGTCACCTGCTTGGAGCAAATTGTATGTGAATAAGTTGAAAGCTTTCATTTGAAATTAATTCCATAACATGATCTCATTGTGCTGCCAACTATCTGCAAAAATTAGTTCAAGCATTTTGTCCTTGGAATTGGATTTACTATGTGTCTATATCATAGCCTTAGCGAAATTCGCTCGAGAAATAAAAAATAGATTGAATTTTGACTAAAAGGTTTATTTTCTCGCTATCAACCATTTTCAATGTTAAAGAGCCTTGAGCAGCGGAGGGAAAATTTTTACTTTAGAAATTCGTCAGCTTAAATATTTTATTGACTACGTGAAACGAATGGATATGAAGAACATTCTGTAAGTACGTGGATTAAAACTTGAAGTAAACAAAATATGTTACGTGTATATTTTGTTCTCCAGTGGCTCAGTAGTAATTCTGAAGGCTTATAACTCTAAAAACTAGGCTTCTATACCCGTAATGGGCACAGCAAAGATAGTCCATTGTGTAGCTTTGAGCTTAACAACAAACAAACAAATTTTATTGTTCACGTTGGCTCATATTTTTATTCCTCGCGCTCATCCGATTTTTAACTACATTTGACATATTCTAAAATAAATAAGTCAAACATTTGTAACAGTTTTAAAGCAGGTTTTCACAGTTGCATAATATGCCTCCAGAAATAGGTTATTGTTTGTTTGTTTGTAGTTAAGCACAAAGCTACACAAAGGGCTATCTATACACTGCCCACCACGGGTATCGAAACCCGGTTTCTAGCGTTGTAAGTCCGCAGACATACCGCTGTGCCACTGGGGGGCAGAAATAATTTAAAATATCTTGAAATGGAAACAATATTTTAAAATGTGACAGCTTTTTTAGATGTATACTTTTATGTAGAACCAGTTCTATTATTATCAAGATTTTTATTAATTGTAGTTTTAGTTTACAATATTAAACCCTTTCTTTCGTTGATGCCTCAGAAGTGTGGTAAACTTAGCCATTAGAAAGATACAATACGCCCCTTCGTGGCGAATAACAGGACAGCCATCTGCTTCGATCTCCAAAGACTTTCCACTTAGCTCAGGGAAAATTTTCCTTGAAGCAACACTTGATAAAAAGGTAAGTAAAAGTCTTCTTTTTATTGATGTATATCAAAATTTAGTTTTATATCAAAAAAATACGTAAGAAAAATACAATTCTCGTCAAATTTCCAAAAAGCTTGTAGCGATATCTTCAGATGATGTAAAAACACAATTTTTTATCCATATTAAAAACACGAGACATGTAATAGAACCTAATATGTTTATCTAGTTTAACTTTGTAGGAATGTGTAGTAAAATTTAGAATTATTATTTAGTCGGAAAATACAAACTACTCAATCTCTAAATACTGTTTAATGATAACCACATTTTAGAAAAAAAATCAAATAATTAGTTAATTGGTTTCTTTTGTGCTTACGTGCATATAAAAAATAATATCGTAATCAACGGATATAACTTAAAGATTAAATTTTAAAAGTGACAATGTTTTCAGTATCTATCATAATGGATTAAATGTGTCGACAACGAAACAACTACCATTTTTAGCGGGAAATATATATATATATATTTCTTATATACACGTGATGAACTTTGAACTTATATGTTTCACCACATCGTTACTATCGGTAGCCAAGGGTTCCCGTTAAGGAGGCAAAAATTCTATAAAGGACGATGTTAGGTAATATTCCCCTTCCACCTCTGACCTCATTAGATGCTAATTGCGTATCCTGTTTTATGGTAGTACTTGTACTTGTGTCTTTAAATTCAAAGCCCAAAATCTATAAAGAAACTGGAAATATGCCCACAGGTGGGCTTTATCCACCTTTCTCGGACGAAACTTTTAAAACGAAGTAGCCCACGTGCGTCGTAGGACAGTTTCCAATTGCCACACAAAAAACTGCGGTAATAAATAATCTGGGTGATGGATGTTAACACACCTACTTAATGGATCATCTTTGTAGTAAAATACACGCTGTAATAATCATGGTTGTATTGTCCCAAAATTAACTCAAAATGTAATAGAGAAAGTGTGAACAGTGATTGTTTCTTAGTTAATTTTATTACTCTGCTGTAATAACGCGATTTTTTCAAACCAAATATATGTTAAAAAGATATCCTGTTCAATATCTAATAAGTTTGTGGCAGCCATTATTGTTTCCTCTTTTCATTAGTTCTAAGCGTTTTTAAAATAAATTTTCTTTTTTTGGGGGTCCCCTGGCGGCCTAGCATGGCTTGATGGTTGGGGCGCTCGACTCGCAATCTACGGGTCTCGGGTTCGAATCCCATCACCGAACATGCTCGCTTTTTCAGCCGTGATGACGTGAAGATCAATCCCACTATTCTATTAGAGTTGGCGGGGGTGGTGTTGGCTATAAGTTACTTTCCCTCTAGTTTGTCACGTCTAAATTAGAGACGGCTACTGCAGATAACTCTCGAGCACCTTTGCAAGAACTTCAACAAACAAATGGTCCCTCAGGGATAGGGGGTGAGTTTACGGACTTACATCACTAAAATTCGGGGTTCGAAGCGCATATATTTCTTCGTTTAGCTTTGCACTAAAACAACTACTTAGGTAACTTAAATTACATTGTTGATACGCATTCTCATGGAGAAATATTTAGTAAGTCTTTCAGTTTCTTAGTGTTTTATTTTAATAGCAGTTAACCATTTGAAATAATACATTTAATACCTCGGATGATCCGTAACTGGACCTTCATCTTGTCTGTAGCTCTACTATCATGGGGAAGAGATCAACGTCAGCGTACTTATACAAAACTTCTCGCACAAGACTGTCAAACACGTGAAAGTCTCTGGTACGTAATATTCAACTTAATGTTATATTTGTGACAGGTGATTTTAATTGAACAACGGATTTTTCACTTATTATTTATCTGACTCACCGCCTATATCTACCTATTCGTTTCTATGTATGTCTATCTACAACTTTTTCACGATGTACAAATGTATATTATCATTAAAATAACTGTGCCCTTAGATCTAAACAGAAAGCGTTGACTGGCTAAAGAATTTAAGATGAAATTTTCAACTAAATAGTAAATAATAATATTTATAGTAAAAATTTTGATAGTTTTTACATTTTGTTCTATTGTTAGAAAGTCTAATGACACTATAGTGTGCCTCCCAGTGGCACAGCGGTATGTCTGCGGACTTACAACGCTAGAATCCGGATTTCGATATCCGTGTTGGGCAGAGCACAGATAGCCCATTGTGTAGCTTTGTGCATAACTACAAATAAACAAACACTATAATGTTTTTTTTAATTTTCTTGACGAAAGTATCTCACCACCTTGACAACACGGTAGTCTCATCACAATGTCTCCCCCCATCAGAAGCTAGCCTGAGGGCTTATAAAGCTAAAATGAGTGATTCGATACCTGCAACGGGCACATCGCTGATAGTCCGTCGTGCAGCTTGTCGTTTAAAACAAACACGCTTATCACTGTTTCTTCCCCCATCAGCAGCTAGCCTGGGGGCTTATAAAGCTGAAATTAGAGATTCGATCCCTGCAAAGGACACATCGCTGATAGTCCGTCGTGCAGCTTGTCGTTTAAAACGAACACACTTATCACACTTATGACTGTCTTCCCAAAATATAAATTCATAGCTTTTCCAGATGATTTTCAGTCGTAACATTGAAGAATAAAAACCTGTAAGTATAAACAATATAAATTATCTGCTTGTCACTCACGTAAAAAATATCATTATTTATTCAGACAACAAACTTTGAAAGTACTGAAATTTATGCTTTCCACTTACATGTCCTTAATTTTTACATAGTTTTAGTTCATTGTTCAAGTTTTGAGTGTATGTTCTTATTTCGCTAATTTTTAACATTTAGTTTCCATATTTATTAGTGATACAGATAGCTGACATTTGTATGGTTTCATCTGGAAAGTGGAAGGTTACTGTGGCCAGTCTGGATAGTCAGTGAGTTTGGTTAAGAACTCTGTTGTTTATGCTCAATTTTTCATTAATCTAAATTATCAACAATAATAGGCATACAATGTGTAAATAAAATACTAATTCGTACAAGAATCTAGCTGTATGTTAATCTGAAAAAGAGTTTTGGTTTAGAAGGGAAAGTTCATTAAAAATATAAAGTTGCATATAATTGACTTCACACACACACACACACACACACATACATTAGATTATATTTTTGTTATATATTTGAAACATTTCTGGATTGATCAATGCCACTTTTTTTTTACCAAGAGCAGAAAAGCGGGAGTATTGAAAAGCGGGATTATTTCTCAGCTTAAAAGAAAAATCAAATTGTCTTTTTAAGTAAGTAACCAAGAGAAGCCATCATTTGAGTCAATCCCTCTAGACCTCACGTTCTTAATTCACAACGGTAATCCGTCTGAAAGCCTCTGTAGTTCAGCAGTAAGACAGGAGACTAATAACGCTAAAAATCGGGTTTCGATACCGATGATGGGCGGAGTATATATAGCCCATTGTATAGCTTTGGGTTCAACAATAAAAAATAATACTGAATGCGACCTCTTGGGTACATGGGGATACATAAAGTTAGAAGCCAAATAGCACGTCGAGGTTGATGTCGTTTTTAATAGGTACTAGACCACCTGTGACCCA